TCTGACTTCAGGAGCTCTTGGATCTAGAATGAAATGGACAGAGCCCTAAGACCAAAGATTTCAAAGGAAAAGGATGGAACAACATCTGTTGGAGCCATTGAAGTCCTGTAAATGTGGCTATTGCTAACAAGGTCCCCTTGAGCCATGTGGGCATAAGCAGGGTCCCCAGAAGAGAAATGGGGTGCTAGAGACACTTGGATTTCCAGCATCGATCTCATTAGGTCTTAGTTCAGCAATGGCATCTTAAGAAGTCCCCTCCCGCAGGCAGTGGGAGAAGGAGACACAAGACAGAGTGAGAGGAACCTTCAAGTGAGCATGAGCCACCAGGAAAGTGGTTTGTTCTGTAATGTGAGACTAAGTCGCAGAGCACTACGGGTTGGAAGTGTGGCTTTTGAGGAGATGCCATGGTACAATAAGCAAGATTGCAACCCTCAACAGACATGAAGCTAGTACTCAGCTCTAGCATGTATGAGCCCAGTGTTGGTGCGTGCTGAGCTCCAGCGTGAGAGGTGCAATGGACAAACTCTGCAGAAGAATTCTCCTGGTGACCAACTCAGCCAGCAAAGAGATCACTCACAGAAGAGATCGGTTTAATAGTGTGACTTTGTGCCACCTGTCCCCCTGGTAGGGACCCCTGGTGAATGTCCCCATCCTGTGACTGTCTAGAGAGAAGTATATAGTGAGTGTATGGACACCGCATTAACACGGAAGAAAGCAGATAACATCTTCATTTGCATCACACAGAGACAGAAATAAACATGGGTCTTACATGTAAGGTCATTAGGGTGAGGCACCACATGCATGTCCCAGCAGTGACAGAGAACACGGGTTGTCCTTTCTCCACTGCTCCAGTGGCATGTGGTTCCTGAGTGGGTCCTCAGCCCCCCCTTGCCCAGGCTCCTCTACCCAAGTCCCTTACAGTCCTTTCTATGTCTTCTTTTTCCTGAGCATCCGCTGTCATCTTTGAAATATTAGCCTGCACATTCCATGTAGTTTGGTGGAGAATTACAACTTGGGAGAAATGAAAGCCATGAGGAGCGTCCCGGTTACTTTCCCTTCCTGGCCTCATTTTCCCTGTCTGATAAGGTGACATAGTACACATTCCAAGAACAAGTTTACATGGGAGTTATCAATAACTTTTGATCCCTTGACCCACTGTTTCTGCCTAGTTTGCCTCTTTATTTTGGTTCACGGATTCAAAAACCCCAGTGAGTGGCATCTTTTGTGCAATGGTCACACATGGTCCTCCTGTCTCCTCTCGTGTCCCAGGCTTCTGCCCTGATCCTTACACAAAAGGAAGCTCCAGACAGCTTCACATTTCCCTGGAAGATTCACACTGCAGTCTTAGAAACCAGTCAATCACAGTAGGGATGGCTGAAGGGACAGAGCTCTGCTGCTTTTCAGAACTGGCTCTGCAGGTTGCTGTTGCTGGACCATGTTCACGGACTCTGTCTTTGTTACACATACTGCTCAGTTCTTGCCTGGGCTGGACCTCTGCTTTCCCTGCAGTCTTGTGTGTATGAGGTGAAATCCGGAGAGCATGACATCAAGGCATTGAGCAATAATCCTAGCCCAGTTTCCTGTGTTAACAAAGTGCTCGTTGTAGGTGGAAGACAGATGTAATGGTAGATCTGTGCTCTGTATTGTCAGAGCTAAAGTGAAGAGAAGAAGCTATACTGACTTTGGTTGAGGGCAGTTCTTCCTAGGAGAAATACTTTCATCATTCCTCAGGCTTTTTCTCTAATCCAAAAATAGTCTTTCTTAAATACTATAACAAAATAAACCCACATGCAATTATCTGGATACAGTTTCATGCATTTGCATGTTCAGACTGGTGTGTGTGTGTGTGTGTGTGTGTGTGTGTGTGTGTGTGTGTGTGTGTGTATGTGTGTGTGTATGCACTGTGAGTGAGTATATGTGTGTGTGTGTGTTTATTATGGTTGTGAGAGTATGTGTGTGTATGATTATGTGAGTTTAAATACATATGTGTGTGTATTAGTGAATGTGTGCTCTGTGTGTGAATGTGTGGAAGTGTATGTGTGTCTGTGTGTATGTATGAGAATGTATATGTACATGAATGAGTGTTTGTGTGTAGGTGTGAATGTGTGTGGATTGTCTGTGTGTGGATATGAGTACATAGTGTATGAGTACATGTGTGTACATGTGTGTGAGTGTGAATGTGTATTGCATAAGTGTGTGTATTCAAGTGTATGTGGGTGTGAATGTATATGGATATGAGTGTAGGTGAATGTGTGTGTATGAGTGTGTATATGTGAATGTGAGCATGAGTGCATATGTGTGCATGTGTGCATGTGAGTGTGCATATGTGAGTGTGCATATGTGAGCATGTGTGTCTGTGTGTATGTGTGTGTGCCTGTGTGCATATGTGTGTGTCTATGTGCATGTAAGTGTGCATATGTGAGTGTGTGTGAGTGTCTGTGTGCATGTGAGTGTGCATATGTGAGTGTGTGTGTGAGTGTCTGTGTGCATGGGAGTGTGCATATGTGAGTGTGAGTGTGTGTGAGTGTCTGTGTGCATGGGAGTGTGCATATGTGAGTGTGAGTGTGTGTGAGTGTCTGTGTGCATGGGAGTGTGCATATGTGAGTGTGAGTGTCTGTGTGTGCATGTGTACATATGTGAGTGTGTATATGTGAGTGTGCATTTGTGAGTGTGAGTGTGTGCATGTGAGTGTGTCTGTTGCCACTCATCTTTTAACTTTGACTGCAAACCACACACCACCATCCCTCTCCTGCCTTCTGAAGCCGTCCCTTGGCATCCTACAGTGGGCATGGAGAACTTGCAAACTTGATTCCAGAATCTGCTAAACTCTGGACCAGTGTGGCTGCCAAGGAGCAGACTCAGGTGCAGTGAAGCATTGCAAGGACAGGCTGTCCTCTTCCTGGGAGGAGACCTGGCACACAGCCGCCATGACAGATTCGCCAAGCGTCTTGGCAGTGCCTAGTAAAGCCAGATGTCTTACGTCTCTAACCTTTCTCTTCATGGGAAAAAGCACACACTGAGCACAACGCAGCCAGGCCTTACACGAGGTAGCATGGACAGTGAGAAGGAAAATTTCATGTCATGAGTTTCACAGTTTTTCCCTTTAGAATCTCTCCCAAGTTCTCTCTTAATGTGGAGAAGGATAGATAAGTAATTTTTCAAATAACAACAAATAGTATTTACTCAGAATTTCTAAGCATATAAGATGTGTTAATTTATGAAAGCCAAATAATATTTCAAAAATTTAAATAAATAAACTATTATTATGATTACCCTTTGGCACAGTTAAAGAAGTCAAGTCATGCAGCAGGTGACAGAGCTAAGACTCCAACCATGGCCCCTGGGCCCCACTTCCTTCTTCCCGAGATGTGCCCACTGTAAGAGTGAGTAGGAGCTGCTGTACAAAGAGCCTGCTAACTCTGTGGGGATGTCTAGGAGCCACTGTACTAGAAGGAGAAGGCTTAGTGACCCACATTAGGTATCAATGGTTGGCAACAGTTAATTACATATTTCAAAATAGCCATAGAGGTGACGCTGTTCATACAAGGGGCAGATAAATTTCCAAGATGATGTGTGTGTCAGTTGTTCTGTCTAATCATACCTTACACATTATGCACATGCATTAAAATACTCGAACCCATAAATTTGAATAACTGTTATGTGCCAATCAATTTTTATAGTAAATTTAACAGATAAACTCACTTTTTTTTTTTTTTTAACAAATCAGAAGGCGGCTGGATGCAGCTTGATGGCAAAGCACTTACCTCATCTGCTTATTAAAGGAAAGAGGTGTGAATTACAGAGCCAGTTCAGGGTGGTAAATTGCCAGCTGCAATCCATGCTGGAGACCGCCAGGCTAGGAAAGCCAAGCAGCTTCTTCTAGGTGCCTGCTGTGGGCTCCCCAAGCCAGAGCACCGGGCAGGCATGGCCATTGCTATCCTTTAAGGTGCTTCTCCCGGAAGAACAGCATGCGTGTTTTTATTTTCAAGAGATGCAGGAGGACCTGGGCTCCATGGTCCTCTTCACAACTCGTCCAGGAGACTAACCTGTCCCCCGCTTTATTGAGGGACATCTGCTCCAAGAAAGCAAAGGTGTGTTGAGGCCACTGCCAGGTAAAAGCCTCATTGCAGTCTGAGAAGCAGGCAGGAGCCGGCTGTTTGAGGGTGTGAGAGCCTCCTGCATATGCAGAGCTATGAAGAGCACTGGTGTCAAGGCCACCGGCTTTCCTTTGCTGCTGGAGCACGAGGCTGGTACAGGAGGTGTGCAGAGATGCTTGTTGCACGAGGGCTTCGGACACCTCTTCAGCTGGCTTGGTTGTGTCCTGCAGACTCGGGTGTCCAGCTTGCTGCAGCTGGCGCCATGGCTGGCATTGACTAACTTTGTTCACTCCTTGATGCCTGAAGTTTCTCTTAGTCTTTTGGACTCTCCACTAGTTTATGTGTATCTCGGGGTCCCTTACCTGGGGTTGAGGTATCAATGTGTAATCTGTGGGGTGGGAAGGACTTTGGTATCTAAGAAAAGGCGAGTTCCCATTTCCCCAGTCTCTCTATAGCTCCATTACAGACCAGGGTTTTGCAAAGCCCCGCCCCCTTTAGACGCAGCATCAATTCTTGTTCATACCAAGGACGTCTTTCAAAGGGTCTGGTTTACAGAAGGAAGACAGAGACCCAATAGGTTACAGAACTCTCTTGTGTTGGGACTGACAGCCTGAGCTTTTGGCTTCTGTGCTGCGTCCTGTTTTACAACCTCCAGGGACGCTTTCCTCAGGGCTCTTCCTGGTACCACAAAAGGCAGCTGGAGACTGGGGTTTGAGGAGACATGGACTCTGTTGAGACTTGCCCGGCAAGAAACCAGGAATCTCCTCCCAAGAGAATGGTTAAATCTAGATATTCAGAGACAGAGGGAACCGAAGGATCACCCAGCATTAATGAGCCCCCCCCCCCCACGCGCCTTTGACTAATGAGGAAATTGCAGATTAGTGAAGTTGAAAGACTTCCCCAGATCAGGGAGTTAGCTCGTGGTGGACTGGGACACGCCCCCCGCCTCTGCCAGAGCAGAAAGGGAGAGTCGCCGCAGGCTGCAGGCTGCAGCCTTGAGGGAGAAAGGGGTATGTCTGGGCTGGACTAGTTCACGGAAGGCAGAATCCAGGCTAAAAGTGTTGGATAATTCTTGCCCTCGTTTTAGCACACCGGTGTGGTTCTGGGACCCACAGGTGGAGTCGCCCGCTTTACAATGTATCGAAAACCCTCCATCTCTGCTGCAAGTGTTTTCGAGTTCTAGACGGACAAGCCCTCTCTTCTTATTTCCCCTTGGGGTACAGGGAAGCCTTGCCCAAGCTTTTCAGAGCTGGCTGTTTCATTGTTCCCTGCAGCAACCTCTCAGGACACAAGGGGCACTGACATCTGTGTATAGGCTTGTGGGAATGAATGACTTGGCTGGCTAAGACTCTGGCTTTGACAGAGTTAGGGGAGAGTTGAAAGTCATACTTGGTCACAAATCAGGTGGGCTGAAAGGGACTGTGAGCTTCCCATCTTTGACAGGGACATCTGGAGTTGTCAGCATTGGGGCAGGGCGGCCTGCTTCATCACAGCTTGGAGGAGGCCCGGGGACCCCACTGATGTTAGGACCATGCCTCTAGGAGAGTAGCTTCTACGCCTGCTCTTACCCCATCTCAGCCAGGTTATGCTTCTAGGAGTGTAAGGTTGTGGCCAATGTCTAATGGCAGCAGAGCTCTGAATTCCCTGAAACATAAGCCTGTTGATGTCGGTGTGAGGGCCTACCATTCTAGCCCACACAGCCCCAGGTGTCCCACTCAGGAGAAACGAGGTAGCCGGAGCTCTCTTGGCTGTAGAGATACAACTGTAGGTAGAACGGAACATCTGGGCCTCTTCACCTAAGTCGGGAATGTCCTCCAGCCCCTGCCACTGAGTGGAAACTAAGAGTCCTTCCAGTCTTCCAGCTGAGGTTCCAGCCCTTGTGTTCTCTCACAGGGCACATGGGCCGGATGCGGTGCTGATGGCAGAGGGCAACCCGCCCAGCGAGCTGACGCAGTCTCAGATGCTGCATATCGCACAGCAAATTGCAGCAGGCATGGTCTACCTGGCGTCCCAACACTTTGTGCACCGTGACCTGGCCACCCGGAACTGCCTGGTGGGGGAGAACCTGCTGGTGAAAATTGGGGACTTCGGCATGTCCCGGGACGTGTACAGCACCGACTACTACAGGGTAAGTAGCTGCTCCAGCAAGGAGATACCAGTAACCAGGGGAAGCCTGATGTATTCGTATGGTCTGTTGCGGTGGCATAAGAAAGTATCACTGCTCAATGAAAATTGACACCTCACAGTACTAGAGAACTCCAAGGTCATGGTGGCAGTGGGCGTGACCTGCTCCCAGGGCTCTCATCAGAATGTAGGTGGCTGTCATCTTTCATGTCTTCCGCCATCTTTATTTCTCTTTATTTTTGCATGCATGAACTTGAATGGGAAACTCCCTTCTAAATCTCCTCTTCCAATTTGGACACCAGCAAGATTGGACTGAAGCTCACCCTACTGGTCCCATTTTCCCCAAGCTATCTCTTTAAAGTACCACTTAGAACACGGTCACATTCTGGGTCATATGTATGTCCAACTCAGAAGTGTTAGGGTGAACCTTTCTTCCCCATAGTTTTTCACAGTGTTGTGTCACATTGCCAAGAGAAAACACATCAGCATTTCCAGGGTGTTGGTTGAGGACACAAGCATCAAGGATGAACCAGGAATTGCTGTTTTATGCCGGGAAATGATAGTCAGACACCTTAAGGGTCCAACATATGAATTGGTTTATATAAACTATGGCCCAGGAGACTTCGGCAGCTTCCTCACAGAGCCATATTAGGTGAAAGCAGCAGAGCTTTCACATGTGTGGGTGCAGTGGGAGAGGTTCTGTCAGCCTGTTGTGGAAGAGACCCATCACACAAGGGTGGACTTATAGACAGTGATTCAAATTCATTGGCTACTTGTGGTCGGTACACTCTGAGTATTTGTAAATAGAGGTCTTGGAACTTGGATGCTAAAAATGGGGACTTTTCTGGAACTCCAGAGGTCATGGCAGAGGGAAGGTTTAACATGCTCTTTACTTCTTCATTTGATTATTGTTTGTGTTGCTTTGTACCTTCCAGAACAGGGTAGGGCTGGTGGGGACAATGCCACCCTTGGCCTTTGCACAGCTCATGATTAATCTTGAAGATGAACCGTCTTGGTCAATATCCTATATTCTTTTCTGGGGCCAACTTTGTGGCACTTGGTTTACGGAAATGATCTATGCCTTGCTCCATGTTCTTCAGCAGACTGTTTTGTGGTGGGTTTTCCTTCGTTGCCTTGATAAGCTCATATCTAGTGGGTGGAGAGTGAATAGAAGTCAAACCAGGGGATTCTCTTGATGCTTGCAGGAGATGTGAGCAGTCTTAATCTTAAGGGTCCAAAAGAGAACCTGGAAGCAGCACCTGCCTCAAGCCTGTAAGTGGTTGGCTTTTTCCAGGCATCTAAAGTACAGATGGCATTTTATCATCATATCTGTTTTATTACATTTATTTTTCTTGGTGTGAGGTGGGGATGAGTATCTCCCAGTTTCAGAAGAAACAAGTGAGTGCTTCTCTGAGAAAAGGTTTTGCTAATCTCCATGAGTATGAAAAGAAGAAACACGTAGTCCAAACAACAGCTTTTAATTTCCCATTTTAAATAAAGGTTGTAAAGGACTTGGAACAAAGAAGGAACTCAATAAAGGTTGTGGTTAATTATTATGCAAATCAACAAGGGTGTATTTTCTCCCAAGGCTGGAACTGAAGTAAGTGAAGCCCAACATTCTAGGAAAAACAAAAAAAACCACACACACTTGGGAAACAGATATTGAAAATCTCAATAATAAAAAGATCAGCCACTCATTTCAAAACTAAGCAAAATATTTGAACAGACATCATTATAAAGATGATATAGAAGGGCCAAGAAGCATACACAGAGATCCTGAGCACCCAGTCATTAGGGAACTAAAGGACAATGACAATTAGATGTCACTTGGCAACACTAATGCTGTATTAAAGATGGACAGACAGTAATATGTGCATGCTGGCAGTGCATGCTGGCGGGATTGCGGGGAAGTTAAATTCTCAACCATTGCTGGTGAGATCACAGAGCTACACAGGTCTTGGGAATATAGCTTAGCATTTGCTTACATTTTTTTTCAACATAAAGCTACAATATAACCTAGCGATTCTACTCCTATGAATATACCCAAAGGAATTGAAGTTCTGTTTACACAAAAGCTGGTAGGAAAGTTGTTTATGATGTCTAAAGAGTATAAGCAACTTATACTCAACTGTTGAATGGATAAACACAGCGTGATGAGTCAAGGGGATGTTATTCAGCAATACAAAGGAATGAAATCTAACCCATGGCACAACATAGATAAAATTCTAAGACATCATATTGATGCGCCAGAGAGATGCTGAGTGGTTAAGAGGACTTTCTGCTCTTGCTGAGGATCTGGGTTTGGTTGCCAGCACTCACCTGGTGTTTCACAACCAATTACAGTTCCAGTTGCAGGGGATCTGATTTCTGACATCTTCAGGCACCAGGCACACACATGGCGCATATACACGTATGCAGACAAACATTCTAAACTAAATAAATCAAAAACAACAACAACAACAAAACAGAAGCGAAAGCACAATATTAAGAAAAGGAAGCCAGGCACAAAAGGCCAGTGCCATGTGATTCTATTTACAAGGAGTATCTAGACTGAGAAAATCTAAGGAGACAGGAAGATGGTTGGTTTCCATTTTCGAGGACTTGAGGGAGAGGACATCAAAGAGTGACCACTGCTGAGTACATGGTTTACAGTGTGGGGGTGTGGCTTAAGAATTATATAGTGGTTTAAGGTACATTATAAGTAGACTTAAAATCCAAGAGCCTTGTGTACTTTTAATAAAAAAATCTTGAAACAGAAAATATTAGAATAGTAACTGCTATTGCATATATAAATTGATCTTGAACATTTGTGAATTATTTAAACAGTGGCATTTGTGGTCTACCATCTTTTATTGTCATTTGTTAGGAAAACCCTCTATTTATGACATAACACCCAATACCTGGGATCCAAGCCTTCCTCCACCTTCAAGGACAGCTACAGGCATGTGGCGTATATGAACACTCACAAGCACATAGACTTGAAAGTGATAATAAATGCATAAAAAGTACTGAAGTACTTCCTTTCACATTGATTACAGGAAGTGGCAATTCCAAATTCTTTATGTATTAAATGTTCTTGACATTTTCACAGTTATGAAATATGCTTCAGAAGTAACATTAGAAACTGAAGAGTTGCTCAGTGGAAGAGCATCTGCAGCAGACCTGGGTTTAGTTTGGCAGTTCACAACCACCTGTAACTCCAATGCCAGGGGATCCAAGCCTTCTCCTGCTCTCAAGGGCATCTGCAGGCATGTGGTGTGTATGAACTCACCCCCCCCCACACACACACACTTAAAAACAACAATAATAAATGCATAAAAATCCATTAACTTCATCCCCCTTACTCATGGCCATTACTCAATTGTAGTTGCAAAGTTTGTACTTTGGGGGAGGAGGGAAAAATGAAGGAAAGGCACAAGCTTTGCATTGGCCTTTGTTATAGATGGCAAGGAACAGGGGAAGAGGTAAATAACAATGGAAGGCAGGACGGTGGTTAGGCAACTTGGGAAATGAATTCGGTGTTTTGTTTAGCCTTTTCTAAAACTTGAAAATGATGGTTCGTTTTTTGGGCTTCATGAAAGCACCGTCAAATAATTGGCTTGGGGATATTTTTGTTTATTGCAATAGAGAGGCATACAACACAGCGTTATGTCTCTCAAATGGGTGAGCAGGAATCATCGAGTGGTTTTTCAGGAGAGCCGCGCACACCCTTGCTGCCACACAAAAACAACCCCGTTTATAAGATGAATCCTAACCCACCACCATCACGGTGTCTCTCTGTGTCCCCTGCCTGCATCTCCAGGGCATGAGCTTTTCTTGCTGATGTTTCTCCCTCCCACAAGTGTTTTCTCATTATTTCCTTGGTGTCTGCTCCAACAGTCCATACCACATTCGGAAGTGAGAAGCTGGTATAGACGAGATTTGATGTACTCACCAATGTCAGAAGCCCTTTCAGCCACAATAACCAAAGAGAAGGTTGGGTTAGCCCAGTGAATTACTTTTCTGTTGCTGTGATAAAATTCAATGACCAAAAGCAACTTAGAGAACAGTGAATCTCCACCTTCCCAATGTGACCGACCCTTTAATACAGTTCCTCATGTTGTAGTGACCTGCATCCATAAATTTATTTTTACTTCATAACTGTAAATTTGCTAGTTTTGAATCATAATGTGAACCTCTGTGTTTTCCGAAGGTCTTAGGTGACCCCTGTGAAAGTGTCTTTCAACCCCCCCAAGGGGTCACGACCCACAGGTTGAAAACAGCTGATATAGAATGAAGAGTTTATTTTGCTTTGAGAGAATAGATATCCATAATGTCGGAGTC